TTTGCAGCTGTCAATGAAAATGGTATTCGGCAAGATGTGAAATGTCAAGGTCGATCGGATGGTGACATTGACTTGACCTTGAACAGTTATCCAATTGGGGGAGTGTCGAAAATCGAGAAAAAATCAAGTGTGCCGAGTGACAGTGGACAATGCAACTGTCAATGTCATAAATGTGAAAAATCGCGATGACCTTGAGCATAATTAATGAGATATTCAAGATGCGATCGGTGTAATCGTTTGACAGATATGTCAAATTAAAGAAATTGCGAATTTTGCTGGTTGAGTGTTTGAAAATTGTTTAAAAATTGACAGTTCGACTGATGACCTTGAAAAAATCACCATTTAAAAGAGCATGAAATTCTGCATTGGAATATTGATTTCGGCCAAGGATCCGGGTCTGATAGGTGGGGCAAAAAAATTCATCAACATTGGCAAGTGTGCCGAAAAATGGGAAAAAAAATTCCTGAAACTGTCATTGTGACGTGAAAAATTTGCCAGTCCAAGTGTATGATGAAATGTTCGATTTCAGATCGTATGATGTAGATTGGAACTCTATCAATATTTGGCAACACCGGAAAATCCCAAAAAACCTGTTTTTCGAAGGTTATGGTCACAACAGCCACGCCCCATGAACGCTTAGAGCACAGACCAGCCTGTCACAGCAACCGTCTCACTCTTAGTCATTGCCCGTGGTGAAAGCGATTGGGCCCAAATAAACGGTTGGCGAGTTGCAAGGTTTGTAAGCTAGATGGTGCCACGAATTTAATGTGACGCCATGCATACAGATGATGTTGGATGCGCCAAATGTAAAGTAAACCGTATGGCAATGTGTTCGGACGGTAGCCAATAGATGGCGCTTCAATTCACCATTTCGTATAGAAGTCGAAAAAAAAATGCGAAATGGGACATATTGACGGTGAAATCGAAAAGTTTTTCGGAAAAAAATTGAAAACGTTCTCAATCGGTCAAACTGACATTGAACAATTGAATGACGACGTCAATCTGTTTGTGATGGGAAAGTTTATACGCGTGGGGGAAAAATTTTGACAGCTGTCAAATGGTTTCCATGGCAACCAAAAAAAAGGGATTTTTGACAGGAGAGTACCGTGTAACAGTGACAGCTGACAACATTGATCCATCTGGCAGTGAGATTGGCTATCAACTGGAAATCGACGTGGAACATTTTCCAATTTCCAAGTGTGATAGTTTCCCGGAAAGTCTCCATAGCAACGGTGTCGCTAAGGGATTTTTCCATGTTTTTCAACATAAAAAAATCGACAGAAATGTCAAATTGCAGTGCATTGAAATTCTGATCAATTGATCGGAAGGCCAATTAGTTGGTGGCGAGGGTGGTTAGATAAAATGTGGAGGAAAAATTTTGACAGCTGTCAAAAACTGGCAATATACATGAAAATTGCCTAAAAAATTTCCAAAAAAATGCACCCTGATGGAAAAATGCTCACCAAAAATCGAAATATTGATCGATCGTTGTAAGATTGATACCAAACGCTTGGAAAAAGTGTAATGCAGCGACCCAAGTCATCGGTAGCTAAGTCAGCTACATGTAGCTGATGGGAATCAGCTACATGTCATTTTTGAGCACAGTGGCACATGGTTGCGTAACTATGGCAACCAAACAAACGTCAGCAGATTGTAGCCGATCCGAAATAATGCAAATGTCATCACTCGACATTTGCTCGAAATGTCAACACGAATGACGTCAGAGTGCTCGATAGGTTCCCTACCCGATTGGCATGACAATCGAAAATATGTTGTAAAAACTCGAAACATGAACCGATTTGCAAACTGATAACACTGTTCGAAAGCGAAGGTATTGGTGCATCGACACCGTTACAGAATTGATAGAGAAAAAAATGCCCACTATCAAATTTCAGCGAAACATTGCATGATCGGAAATTTTTCCACTCAAAAGTAAGGTTATCGAAAACTTTGTTGAATGACCTTGAAAATCTCCACAAATCGAGATGCATTCATGCCAAGTTTATATCGAAATTATGAGTTCGATCGATACCATAGCGAACGTACGGGCAGGATTCTACTAAAAGGGTGCACAAACGTGTTTCATGGTTTTCAGAATTTGCGAATTTTTTCCAAAGTTATTTAGGAACCAATTGGCAAAGTGTCAACAGCAATCGATGACCCAACGATCCAGTAATCGATCTGTCGGACGAATATGTCAAAAATCTAAACAGTCCCGATGTCATCGCGCAGGAAAGTGGTGATTGTCATTTTGTCGATAAAGACAATGTAGCCCAAACAGTGTCATCTACGATGATGGTATCTGCCCACGATTGTAATGCCGGATCATACTATGTCATATGCAAAATTCCCAACTCTCCACATTGAACGGTTTGAACGGGGGAATTTTTTGAAAATTTCCACCCAAAATCGAAAAAAAAATCCTACCTTTGAGGTTAGAAAGATAATATTGACATATTATATATATTTGGAATCAGCTCGTCGAGCCCGATCGATTGACACCATTGTCAATGCTGTG